ATATATTTATTGTCAAGCCCACATTTCTACACTATGTAGGCAGCCTCATAGAGACCGTGCCCAAAAATTAATAAATGACTTTGAAAGTAATGGTGATTGATGGGTCGCCAATCTTAAACCCTAAATTGGACTAAACTAACAATCATTTTAAAAAGTAATAGATTTTTAAAGAACAATTGTTTCATGCGGCTGCATCTCATTTGTACAAAATGCGGTCTAGAGGTATAAGGCATCCATCTTAAAGATGGATACAAATAGGTGCTCCATCTAAAAACAATTGTAACTAACGGTCCAAATGTTTTATTAATATAATTATTATTTTTAATTTTAAAATTTTATTTATTTATTCATATGCATGATCTCCACGTTAAAGATTATATATTCTCTGAAAATTAAGATCAAATTATATTTAAAAAATATATTTATTCCAAGCCTGCATTTCTACACGTGCGGGCTTGGCCGCATGCTAATCGCATCTATTTTTAAAAGCCTGAAAACCCAAAGCTCTAAACTTGATAGCATTTTTTGTCATGAATTAAGAAAACCTAAACCCTGTATCCTAAACCCAGAAAGACAATCGACCAGAGACTATAAACTACGAAGTACATGCCTTATGCAATGCTTGTAGTCCAGTAAAGTTCCCCCCAAACTCTGTGAGTGCACCCGTATACATGTATTCCATACTCTTTATTACGTTCATTGCTTAATTTTTTCTCTCTGAGTTCTATTCGTATTTTACACACTCAGAGTTAAGAAATTGCCAAAAGATTATATGCTCCTGTGATAGCATGATAAACAGTTAATCATTAGATGAAGTTTATATTAGGCCTAAGTTTTATGAAAACAAAATAAAGCCTCACCTTAAATTCTTATCCAGAAAACACTTTCGGCAACAAAATTATACTCTAAAATCAATTTCGAACATAGGGAATAAAATTTGAAATTTAAAAAATGGTATAGATCTTACGGATCATTGAACACTTATTTTTAAGGTGAAATGGACGGTCTAGATAATTTGTTACAATGTACACTAGTTTAAAATCCTTTTTTTTTTTTTTTCACAGCCCTAACGTTCAATCCAAGATGAACGACATATAAGTTTTTCAATACTTGAATAGAGTTTTTTAATACTTGAATTGCAATTTTTTATGAGCTATGAGGTGAGACTTTACTTATTTTGATAGGACTGCAGCCCTATCAATCCATTTTCCTTAATCTTTGGATAAAGCCATTTATCTATCGAATAAGAGTTCTTTTAAGACCCCAAATTTTAGGACACAACATCTTCACCTAGCAACTCACCTGTAGAGAAATTTGATGTGCATCCTGTATGTGACTATAAAATAGCCTACTAAGGTTGAACAGGGACTCATACTAGTTGATTATAAAGTAGGATCCAAATTTTCAAATAAAAGAATACCCTTGAGTCAGTCTTTTGCTGGTGCGAGCAAGTCTATAGCATGCTCTCGAAAACTGATAAAAAATAACTTGGGGTTGAAACACATCGAGTGATTTTAAAATCATCGTCGTCAAATTTTTTTTCTAATTAATTGAGGTCAACTACACAAATTATAAATTATGATATACATCTCTGCTCTATTAAAAGAAATACCCTCAATAAGACCATAAGTCATTTTTTTTCTCATTACTTCCGATCTTTTTGCGCCTACCCCATGCCTTTTTTTAAACCATCTATTGGAACTAAGTTGCACCTCCTAATAGTTGGATCTATGCCACACATAGCTAGCCTATATAAATCTAATCTCTCTCATCTCATCGTCTATTTACACCACACTTAAATTTTTCCGAATGTATTCAATCTCCTTAATCTAAAATGGGTCCAAATTTTCAAAAAAAAAACAAAAAAACAAAAAAACAATCCTAAGTAAGTATTTTATTGGGGTAAGTGTACCGTGTGCCCTTCAGAGAGATGGCTAAAAATATAAGCTGCTATGATTGAACAAAGGCTCATCTTAGTGATTATAAAATGATCCCAAATTATTTTTAAAAAAGCTGAAGTCTGCTACCAGGGAATAATCTTCATAGTGTGCTCTGGACAGTTGGGTGTACCCACCAAATGAGAGAATATTTTTCTTGAGAGAGTGGAAGAGAGACCAGAATAGATTAGTAGTGCACGTCACATATCCCTTCAAGGAATATCAGGCCAATTTTTTAATGTAAGGGAAGAGATCACATACAACGCATTCACAATAGTGACAATATTCAGACAGCTATTAAAGTCAATGGTTAACCAGTGAATCTTTCAGCACACCTGATCTAGCAGGAGAAAACAATCGATACTAGATCTATAACAGTTTCATAATGTGAGGAAAAAGAGAGAAGAGAAAACAATCCTCTATAGATCTAAGTCAGTTTCATAATATGGAGAGAGAAAAATGATAGTGAAGAAAAACCATCCATAATAGATCTAGAACAGTTTCAGAATGGGGGAGAGAGAGAGAACTATAGAAATAACTCTCCTTGGAGAAACCATCCGTAATAGTTCTAGAACAGTTTCATAATGTAGGGAGATAGAGAGAACTATAGAAATAACTCTTTCTTTCTGGAGATTTCCTTCCCCCAATTTACAGGGCTTAAGAAAAAGATCATATGCATCAATTTAAAACACTTTTTAGTAGATCAGTGTTAGCAATGCTTTTAAACGCGGCTCGGTCCTTGGACTCAGCCTTGGCCCGAGCAGAGTAACTCCGCCGAGTGCGAGTGGGCTCAGACGAGGTGCTGTTTGTTTTGTTTCTCGTAATATGCTCAAGTCGCACCAGGGTACTCGGCTCGGCAAGGGGCAAAGTCCGAGTGGATTCCACGGGGTAGTGAAAACATGAGTGAAAAACTTGGGCCTGCAAATCTTAAAATTTTCAAGAATTTATCAACCTCTCGACGCAATGATGAAAGGAACCAAGGAAAATATCATTCATAACAGATCCACAAGAACAAAGAGAGAGACTACTTCTCAACAACTATTGATCTACTTGCAATAATATTAAAGGAAGAAACCCCTAAAACGATTTCCATAACACTTGCAGTTTTACATGATAAAAGAAATTTGATATAACAGCAAAGGAAGAAACCATCCATACTAGAGAGAGAACATCAAATAAAATCCACAACTTCTTCAGAATTACTCAGAGAAAGAGAGACAAAGATCCATCTAAGGTTACAACTTTTACGGAGAGCCAATTCCATAACTTAGTGCTTCTTCAAGAACCCTTCAGCCATCTTCATATAATCTCCATATCCACCCTCCTTAGCATCCCCTGAGTGTGAATTTTGCGAAGGTTCGTTGAAGAACCCTTGAGCCATCTTGATATAATCTCCATATCCACCCTCCTTGGCACCCCCCGAGTGCGAACTATGCGAAGGTTCATTGCTCGAATGATCAGAGCCATGAGAACCAGTCACCGAGTGGCCACCGGGTTTAGTGCCTGAACCGCCATGAGTCTCTTCATAGTTGTGAAGATAAGTCTCTGCCTTCCCCAAATATTTTCCAATGCTCTTCTGTTCGAGCTTTCCGTAATGGCTGGCCGCTTCAACAAGATCAGCCGCTGCGCCGGCTACCTTTCCTTTGTTTAAATTCTCAGTTTTATGGCTCATGGCTGATTTTGCAGCATCTGCAACAACTTTCGCGCTTGAAAAGAGCTCACTTCCTGAGGCCACATGGTGATTGTGCCCCTTCTTTCCCTCTCTAAGTTCATGATCCATGGCAAATAGTTCAGGGTCTAGTGAGAGAACCTCTCAGTTCAGATGAGATATAAAGGGAGAATTGTAATTTAGCAAAGATCGGTCCTGTGACTTGGGTTTCTCCAAAGTTTCAGTTTCTAGAGAGAAGAAGATGGGCTTGGAGTGAAATCCAGAGATAGAAACTCCTAATATATGATATGGAGAGAGAATTGTGATCTAGAGAAGATGGGGTCTCTGAATTGGGTCACTCCAAAGTTTCTATCTATTGAGAGAAGATAATGGAACTGGGGAGAGATCTGAATTGGGTCAAATGGGTTCTCTCCCTCTACAAAGGTTACTTATGGATAGCTTTGTGGAGGCCTGCATATAGAAGCAAGTGGGTGCAGTTGACTCTGCACAGAGGGTCTTGTTTCAGTGTTTATAACGCGTTAAGGCAGAGTACTGGAGGAGCAATCGTGAGTTCTTTTTATGTGGCTGGAGGAACTCAACGCGTGGGATCTTTGGATCACAATAAATCCTTCCATCTTTTCCATTTCTCACTTTTTTGGGTAGATAAGTGCGGAATATTAAATGCCCTATCCATCTTTGAGAAATATTCATTGGTTTAGTGGTCCTCCACCATGACCTCAAACCCATTCCAAATGAATTTGTTCCTCTCTGGTTTTTGGATAAGAAAGCCTTGGTTTGTTTTTATAGTGAAATTTATGTCGACCTTGTTAATTCTCCTGTCATTTTGGTCTGGTGGTCCTCACTCACGTTTTCTTTTATTTTTTTTATGGTAATATGTTTTAAGCATCGTATTGTATATTATATATATTTTTTAATTTTATGATTTTTATGGTTTGATGCTAAAAGCATCCAAAGGTTCGATGTTCAAAACATCGGACCGCCTTGAACCCTCAAAAAATAAGATTTAAGGACAGTCCGATGTTTCCAACAAAACATACCACTTTAATAGGTGAAATCATAATTGGAGCACATTGAGGGAGCTATGTTACCAAATCTTATTACATCTTAATTGGTAACACATGTTGGAGTACTTATGCATGTACATCAACACGACATATCCATGCTATTGAAAAGGGTGGTCCAATGTCTGGGATCATGAGTAGACCTTATTTTTTTAGGCGGTCCGATGTTTCGGACATAGACCGACTAAAGTGTAAGCCGGTTTGATTTTTGAAAAATCGGACCACCTTACAAAATTAACTTTTGATGTTTTTAACATTGAACTGACCCATAAATATCATAAAATCAAACAAATAAATTTAATATGTGATCCGATATTTAAAATATCAGACTTGAAGCGAAAAAAAATGAAAAATCAGGGGGTTCAGTGCCGCAACATAAATATGTCATATTTTTTTACCATCACACAATAACGGTCAAACAAAATGGAACGGACAACATATCCCCTTTTTTTTCCTTTACTTAACAAGCCTTGATTTTTTCTATAGATAAGAAACCTTGAGCCTTGATTTTTTCTATAGATAAGAAACCTTGAGCCTTGATTTTTTCTATAGATAAGAAACCTTGAGCCTTGATTTTTTCTATAGATAAGAAACCTTGAGCCTTGATTTTTTCTATAGATAAGAAACCTTGAGCCTTGATTTTTTCTATAGATAAGAAACCTTGAATATTTTTTTAAAAAAACTTAACAGGCCTTGATTTTTTCAGGGTATGGTTTGGTGCTTACACCTCAACAAACCCTCTCTCTCTCTCTCTCTCTTTGGTTTGGATACTCGACATGGCCGAGCCGTCTCAAGTAGAGTCTGGCCAAGCAAAAAATGTTAAAAAATTAAAAAATACGAAACAAACCCAAAGTAGAGGAAAAATATGTTCGAGATAAACTTAAACAAAATACATCTACAGGAGATGGAAAAATAAACTGGATTTTGAAAAGATCAAGTTGTGATGGGGAGTACTTTAAAAATAATCCAAAATGAGGAAAAATATAAAAATAAGTATTCAGGGCCAAAACGCTTTCCAACTTTTGTTAAAAAGACAGAAAACATAAAAAAAACACATTACAAATAAATGTTTTATTTCGGATTTTTATATTTTTTCATTTTTTTTTTTTTTTTAAGTATCCTCGAGTTGGATCACCCAACTCGGGATACTCAGACTCGCTAGGGTGGCAAGTCGAAGTTACTCAAGCAAGTCCGAGCTGGGTCAGCCGGAGTTTCTCCACACTGATGCGAATGTAAATCAGTAAAATCACCTAAACAAGCATTATGCAACACTCAGGCCCAGATCTCCTTCTGTCAATCATTTCCTGGCCAATTCATAGGACCTTTCTCTTGGTTGTGAAGCTGGGGATACTTGACCACAAAATCTCTCACCCCATGCCCCTTCACCAGCAATCTCTACAAGAACAATCTCCTCCTCTAAAGTGGTGAAACCAGTTTCTATCTCTAACTGTTATATCTCTCCTATAAACCTTTGAAACAAGCTTAAAATAAGTGTGACAATCCTTGCACACTCTCAAATTCTTCACAATTCTTATGACTTCCCCTTCTTGAATCTTTAGAAGCCCAAAAGCCAGAGCAAGCTTCTCACTGTCATACATTAGAGAAGTTTCTCTCTTCTTCCTCCACATCATAAGAAACCATCTCTGTGTCTACTACATAACCAGCAAGCCTCAACTCTCTCTCTACATCACTCGACATCCTAAAAATCTCTTTTGAAACCGCCCTCCCAACTATGAATTCATAGACCACATTCTCTATTTCTATTGAGCTACACCCGGGTTGCTTTCGAATACCTCTAAGTTTCATAGTTTCTCCCACTAGAGCAACATCATTCCACCTATGAGCACGGGCGTAGAGGTTAGAGAGAAGGACATAATTCTCACCGTTTCCGGGCTCTAATCGGAGGACGTTCTGGACTGAGAGCTCTGAGAGATCGGTTCTTCCATGAATCCTACATGCTCCATGCAGTGATCTCCAAACTATGGCATCTGGTTCAACGGGCATGGACTCAATCAAAGCCATGGTCTCTTCTAATAAACCAGCTCGGCCTAGAAGATCAACCATGCATCCATAGTGTTGAATACATGGGGTCATGCTGAATTCACCTCTCATCATGGCCAAGTACTGGTAACCTTCATAAACCAGGCCCTCAGGGCTGCAAGCACATAACACACCAAGAAATGTCACCCCATCAGGCCTGATATGGCCATCACCCACCATCTCTCTAAAGAGTTTCAGAGCTTTTTCACCATAGCCATTCATGGCCACGTCTGATATGATGGCATTCCATGTGTACACATTCCTATGCCTCGTGCCATCAAACACCACCATGGCCTCATCTATGCTCCTGCATTTTGCATACATGTCAATTAGTGAAGTACCCGCAAAGACATTTACAGTTAAATTCCTGGATTTTGTGTTTTCATGAACCCATTTCCCCTGGTTCAAAGCACCCAAGTGAGCACAAGCAGAGAGAACACCAGTCACCGTGGTCTCAGTCGGCTTGAACCCAGAAATTCGCATCTCCGAAAACAAGTTCAGAGCATTCGACAACTCGCGATTATGGGTATAACCGGTGATCATGGCGTTATAAGAAACGGAGTTCTTTTGGGTCATTTCATCAAATATTTTGCAGGCCGAAGCCATGGATTTACAGGGAGAATACATGTGAAGGAGGGCAGTGTCTGTGTACACATTGGAATTGAAACCCAGGTGTATGATATGGGTATGGATGGATTGGCCAATATAGAGAGAGAAGGTTTGGGCACATGAGGAGCTGAAATGGTTTGGTGGTAGGCTAAGATGGCCTCATGGGGTTGGTGGTTGTGGGTGTGGGTTCTGATGAGGGAGTTGAAGGCAGGTGTGTCTTGGGGAAGAGAGAGAGGAGGGAAGAATTTGGGCATGAGAGGGAGTGGGGGAAGATGAGGGAGGTGGTAGTTTGGGAGAGAGAGGTGTAGAGAAGGGAGATTGGGTGGGTAGTAACATGGAGAGAAGGTTAGAGGGGGATAGTGGAGGTCTATCCAGTTTGGTTGGGGTTGGTAGTTTATCGTAACATTTTAAGATTCGAGAGAGACAAGGTTGGTTGTTTAAGGTAAATTGTAATTTACGTAAATATGAAAACAATATGGTGTCACAATATGATATCTTGAATTTTATTTTTATTATAGATAAATAATTTATTTTTTATTAAAATATTTAAAAATAAATAAATAAATAATATATAAATGTATTATTTATTTTTAATACAATGAAGTTACAATCACTCTTGCTTATCCGATTTTAAATTATACAATTGTGAGTATGTTAATGACTAGACTTAAAGTCCCAAATAATTTTTTTTGAATTTTGTAACATATCTTAAATCATCCAATTTGACATTCAACCAATTAGTAGTAATTGTGACATCTTTGTAACAAAAATAAATGATCTCCTGATATACAATCCAAAACAAAAAAAAAAACAAAAAGGATAAAAGTCTAGAAGAGGCTTCAACTTTGTGCTATAGAAGCAAGGAAACCCACCCCACTAAGCCTAGTGTAGGTAAAGGACCCCTTCCTCACTAAATTACCGATAAACAAAAAACATGGGGAAAAAAGTCTACAAGAGGTTACAACTTTGTGCTATAAAAGCAAGGAAACCCACCCACTAAGGTTGTGCTGATGCAAAATTCTTCAATTGATAACACTTTGATAACACAGGACATGACAAAGGATCTTTAAGTTTTAAAAGTAGTTTATTTTGTAAATTATCTAGATTATTTGTTTATAATTTTTTTTCCAACTCAATTTATATATATTTTTAAGCTTTAAGTTTCAGAATTAGGTATGAGAATAAATTTTGAGTTATAGTGAAATTTTTCATCCCAAAATTACAACTTCAATAGATTTTTGAGGTATATCTTGCTTTAATTATTTAGAATGGCATGAAAAATGTTTTGGAGAAAAGGCAGGCGTTGTGTATCAGATATAGGCATGTTAACATGTTACTTGAGCTTCCGAGGGACTATAGTGTATAGCAGGTCCATTGGGCAAAAGACAGGCGGTGTCTATGATTCATAGTCTGTTGCCTTGTGATTTGTTTCGAAAGAAAAAACCAAAAGTAGATTTTGAGCTCTTGAAACCCCATTATCCTAAAACCCTAAATTTGTTTCTCCACAACCCAAATTCGATGGTCAATATTGGAGCAACTTTTTAGCTACAAAGTGGTGTACTTTATTTCTCTACTTTTTTTTATTTCTTCAGATTTTCCTAGTGATGATTAAATATTATTTGAGAGGTCTAGGTTCTAATAAGTTCCTTGCTGTTTTGGTCATGGAACCAATGTACAGTTTAGTCCCATTGGCTAATACCAATTCCTTTTAAATATGGTATGTGGGAAATATTAACTACAGAATATGGGAATTGAGCTTAGGCCGTAGCATTGCAAATCATCAAGCACTAACCAATTAAGCCAAGTTTTTTTTTCTAACATCTTTTTGCAGTAAAAAATTTATACTTTTAATAATTTAAATTCATATTTGTTATAAGTACCTGGTTTCTATGCGGCCACACCTGCATATGTAGAAATGTGGGCCTATTAATAAATGTACTTTTGGAGATGGATTTTTGGACTTCATTTTTAAGGACATGTAATCTCTAACATGAAGATCCTGAATATGAAAAAATAAGTAAATTTTAAAAACTAAAAATAATAATTCTAGTAAGAAAACACTTGGACCATTAGTTTCCTTAGTTTTTAAATGGAACACCTATTTGCATCCATCTTTGAGATAAATGCTTTACACTTTTTGGACCGCATATGTAGTCATGCGGTCCAGCCCGCATGAAACAATTTTCCTTGTCATAATCACATT